CAGATCCTCCCCCCCTCCGTTCCCTTTTGCACCCTCAGTCCCTTACTCAGATTTTCTCCAAATACGCTCCAACAATTGCTTTGTTTTGCAACAGCTAACACACACGCACTTTTCCCCCCCCTCTCCCCTGGAGAAATTTGGTGAAATGCGTCCCCTGAACACGGCACACTTCCCTTGCATACAAATCCATCACTTGTCAACCCTTTGCATCCTTGATTCTTTTCACACAAGAAGAGATTTATATGCACCCATCCCCTTATACAAAATTGTCTGTCAGGCAGATATTTTATTCCGCGTAGCTGGATCTGTTTGTTCACCCGAGTGGCCGGCGGAAAAATTATTTCTGGATAGCATCTGCTAATCTACCTCACAAGCGTGTTTGCGGGGAAGTGACGCTTCTATAGTCAAATTGCTTTCATTTAAATGCTTCTGTATTTAAATCCTGTCAATAAAGGCTTAAACACCATTCTAGCAAACAAGAAAGAGAATACCTGCAAAAGTCCCCCATGAGGTGTTATTGCAATTGTCCAAAACATTCCCGCTTCTGTTCCTTTTTCAAGGATGCTGCAATTAAGGAGACAAAAAGGAAATTAGCCTTAAGAGCAAACTCTTCACCTTGTTTAGATATTCTAAATATGAAGTCACCTCTGTGCCATAAATGTTGCTCAGAAATAACTTGGGGAGGAAAGCAAAGCACGCCAGGGAGGAAATGCAATCTTCCTCCCCAACATCTAGCTTTCTACATGCAAGGATTTGAGAAACAAATAAAGAAAGGCTCCCAAATGCACAATTTCCCAGCTGGCGACCAGATGCAGATACAGAAAAGATGCTCTCTGCCAGTCATGGGAACTGGGTCCTCAATTTGCCCACCGTGTCCTAAGAAACAGCAAACTAGGATGGTTAATGCTGGAGAAGGAGGACGACGACCTAATGGCCTGAAGGGTAATGTGGGCAGAGGCCCTCTGGTCTTTGTGCCACCTAACAGGGTTGTTGTCATGGCCGTATGATGGTAAAACGAGCGAATATTTGCCTATTATTAAAAATACAGTCTAGTTTTTCCATCAGACCGGTGGGAGAAACTGAATTATTACAGGCTGCGTGAAAGAGCGCCATCTGCTGTTCAATTCCGGTAGTGACACGATGTAAACCCACCGGGAGTGGGGCGAGGTTCTTCAGATGATATATATTTCCAGAATAATTGGGGCGGGGGCAACAGAAACCTTTTAGAGAGAAGGTAAATGTCTGCTCTGGGGTGGGGGAAACCCTTTGCATGGAATATGTTTTTGTTGTTCGTGGGGAAAGATCTGCTTGAATACGGTTTTGTGCCAACTAAATTGCAGTGCCAATTTCGGCTCCTATTAGCCCCTGTGGGTTGTCTCAGGAGGGTGCTTGGATGGGAGACCACTAGGAAATGTCAGAACAAGAGACTGGGAGGGCAGGAAAACATCTCAGAAGGCCAGCTACCTCTGTCCTGACACAAAAGGGTGGTCTTTCCTATCTAGAAAGGTGGGCACACTTTCAAACCAAGCCCTGGGCTATCTGAGGTTACTCCCCCCCCCTTATTATTATTATTTTTTAAAATTTTCCTAGGAAATAAAGATGGTGCTAAATCCTGCTTTACAGCAGGTTCCCCTTAAAAATTACATTAATTGAACCGGGTGAGGGGAGGACAGAGAGAGGAATCTGCGGGCACCGCAGCTCCCTTAGAGATCCGAATCCGCGCCATCTGTGGCCAGAGATTGGTCCTGATGGAACCTCCATGTCAGGAAGCAGTCTACCTCTGGATACCCTCTGCAAACGCTTTCACTCAGCCCCTTTGCCCCACACGCGGGCCTTCTGGAGGGAGCCCTCGGTGTCCGGAATTAGAAAAAGAAATCGAAATACCGTCGTCGTGATGCTGGCGCACGTGCGGGTTGGAATTCTTCCCACGAAAGTCCTCACCTGTTGGAGTTTTGCCTGCGGACCTCCCCCAAAATTCTGCTTTGGTGCAAAGCAGGTTCCCAGAGCCATGCCCGCCTCCCAGCTGCCCGGTTTGCAAGCCAGCCACCCACCCCACCCCACGTGGCTGGCTGGCATTGTTACAGGGGGGAACCAACAGACGCGTGGCAAGTGGGAGTCCCACAGCCGGCTTGCAATTAACCAAGTTCTCCATCAAGGGGACGCTGGGCGGTTTGATGTGCCCATCAGCTCGGCCTGCGCTGTTAACCAACAGTGGGTGGGCAAGAGCTGACTCTGGGGGTCCTGAAAGGGGGGAGAATGCACAAAAATGCACGCTTCTCTGGATTAAAAAGGCAAAAAAGGATGGGGCACCAACCCTGCCAGGCTGCCAACCCTGCCCAGAGACCCTTCTGAACTCCAGGCAAGTTCACCAGGGCACAGGGCTCCTGCACTGTAAGCCAAACAGCACTGCTGGCAGAAAAAATTCCTCTCTCTTTCAATCAATCAGAACAGGATCTCTATTCCCCCCACCAGAAAAAAGAACAGAGTACAAATGACATTGGAAGGTAAAGATAAACTACCCCTGAACATGGAGGTTCTATTTACTGCTCCCGGCTGACGACGAATCCAGCTGCAGTTCTGGGCCAGCACGCTGCTTTCCAGAGGCCATGAACGACCTCTGCCCACCATGAAAACCCCACTGCCGTTCCCCCTTCTCAGGATCTGGCAATTCATGATAGACTGCTTCTGAACAGAGAGGCTCTGCTGAAGCCAGCCAGAGTTGCTGAGACGCTGAAGCTCCGCGGCTCACTGTGTTCCAAGCTGGGTGGAATTCCTTGATTAAATCCGGGCTTCTCAACCTCGCTGGGAGTGGACTTCAACTCCCAGAATTCCCCAGCCAGGAATGGACTGAGATCAGCTGGGGAAGGGGCAGCCCTCCGGATGGGGCTGAACTACATTTCCCAGCATCCCACTGGCTGGAGTGGGCTGCGGCTTGGCAAGTCTGGAGGGGCACCAATCCCCCCAAGTGGAGGGACTCCAGAGTTACGGGCGGAGGCTTTGCCCAGCCAGCCCTGGCGATGCCAGGCCTTGACATCGCCTGGCACGTTGAGCCAAAAAGCGCCCGGGGCATTGCCGGGGAATATATTTGAGTGGGTGAATTAACCCGCTGAGTGAACTGCTCGTTCTGCTCCTTGCAAACCCAAACCCTGGAGCGCGGCCCCATCTCAAATTGTGGAGGAAGTGTGTGTGTGTGTTTCTCCTCCCCTGAACAGGCGCACCCAAAAGCACGCTGATGCAACACCCAACAGCTGCAGGCCCTCCCCCCGCCGCCCCCGCTGTTTTAATATGCAGAGGTAAAAGCAAGATGCCAAAAAGCTTTTGGGGAAAAACATGACCGAGAAAGATGAAAAAGTATATTATACGTGCAGTAAAGCTCAGCTTTTGAACACAGTGTTAAATCTCGATGGCATTGCTCGGGCTTCGCCTTTTTGAAAGAGCAAACACAAATGACCAGCGGTGCAAAATCGTGCACCTGGAATAGCGTTGCTCAATGAACAACAACATGGCTCAATAAATCCGTAGCAATTCCAATGTCACTAAATTCCAAACGTTTGATGGGCCGCTCAAAACGTTTTCCCACCTTAGTTCTTTTCCCAAGACCATCTTAACCCATCTGGGAATATTCAGCCTAAGTCGGAGGTTGCGAGGCAAGAGTTTGCCTAAGGGCCCCTTCTATCGTTCCCCATTTGCAATGAGCATTTAAAAAAACCGAATTAAGCTCATTTTAAGCGTGTGAGGAAAATAGTCCCTGTTCTTCGAGACCTTAAATCCTGGATTTATCAACAGGGAAGCCTTCCCGCTCTTCACCATCCTGGCAAATGACCAGCGTCCCTCTTAAAAAACATTCATCATCTATTGAAGGAAAGAAAAATCCCTTTTCATTTTAAAACACGCTGCCCTATTATTAACTGCAGTTCAAGAGTCTGAACCGCCGCCGGCGTCCCTCGGCCCAACGGTTTTAGGGGGGTTTCTGCATTGGGTGCAATTGCTGCATCTCGTAAAATTTGCTGCACTGCTGCCCCCCAATTCCCTCTGCCCCCCAGGACCCTCCACAGTGAGGCCTCCAAGCCCCTGCTGCCCAGGGCAAAGCCCGTTTGATGCCCCCCAGCCCAGAAAACCCGGCCCAGAGGAGGAACATGGGGCCGCGTTGTTCCCACCCCTCCCGAGGGCCTTGGGCTACCACCTCCCATCGGCCCCTCCAGCCCAGCCCAAAAACCCCTCCCGGGAGGCAGGAGGGGGGGCTCCCCAGCCAACGAGCCCCAAGATGGCTCACTTCGTGGGCCAACTCGGCCACAGTGGGCTCCTCTGCCGAGGTCCAGCTGCGAGGGGGACAGGGGCCCGGGGCCACAGGGCCTTTGGGGCCTCCGAGCCCGGCCAGGGCCCCTCTCCCCCCTCCCCGGCCATTGCCAGGCCCTGAGGAGACCCTGCGCCTCTTCTCCCCTCAGCAGCTTCCCGCCATGGCCCAGCTGGGGGCAATCAGGCAATTAGCCCCAAGCCCCTGAAGGGCAGCTGCATTTAAAGGGACAGGCGCCCTTCCCGGGCACAGCCCTTCAGCGCCTGGCAGGATTGGGGCCAGCCTGGCACAGGCCTGGCATCCGTATACTCCTTTTAGCCCCGGCCCTGCGCCTCGGGGCAACCAGCAGCACGCCAAAACGGCAATAAAAGAACAACATAATATAAATACGACATAAATGGAAAAAGCGTACAACGGAAGAAAGCGGCGTCTGTTTTAAAACAGGTCCGTTTTAAAAAGCGGACGGAAAGCCAGCATTTTGAAATCAGATTTATACCCATGTGGCAATCAACAATATAGTCAAATTACAGCCGGGGGGGGGGGAACAGCCAAATGACAGCGAACAGCCCAATTCCAGTGGAAAAGCAAGACGTTAGAGTGAAAAAAATACAGCCAAATTACAGCGAGGGCACAAGGAAAGAGCCACGCGTTACGCCCGTGACGTAAATTTAAAGACCGCAGAACAAAATCCAATTCAAGCCGGCAATGGCGGAGGTGTTGTTTAATTCCCCGCAAGGTCTCTGAGGAAATTTCATCTCAAAAAGCCGTCGGAAAGCCAAGAACGTGGGAGCCGGCCTGATTTCCAGTGGCCGGCAGTTCCACGGAGAAGCGACGTTCATCTTCACGTTAATCCTTACACTGATTTATTGTTTTAACGTGTTGCGAGCCGGCCAGAGTCCCCCATTGGGGGGAGATGGGTGGGGGATAAATGTAATAAAGGAATAAAATAAATCATACGAAGCATTCATAGACCACCAAAGGAAACCTCTCCCCTATTTTTTTAATTTTAATCGACTGCCCTGCCGGTGAGTTCAGTGCTGGGGTCGTATTTTTAAGGAGGTTGTGTGCAAAGAGAGGGAGCCCTGGGGGGGAAACTGGGGGGGATTAGCGTGGCGAAGAGAAGAAGTGGAATAAGCTTTTCCCACTCAGGTGAGCAGCCATGACATGCCTGTAGGTAAAAGGAGCCACACAGGTACGTGTCTGAAGCAGAAGCGTAAAAACATGGCCAAAAACTGAGAATCTGGCATCTGGGCTGTGCCTTGGCATCGTGACCCGCTAACCAAGTGGGGCACCCAGACGGGCGCAAAGGGAAGGCCCAGAAGCCAGAGCTGGGGCCGAAGGGGGTCCTAGCCCTGGTCCATGGTGTAGCTCTGAATGGCGGCCTGGAAGAAGGCCGGTGTGTTGCGTTCTGGGTGGACGTAGATCACGTAGCACTTGGGCCCGAAATAGCCCAAGGACAGGCTGAGCAGGTTGGACAGCACGACCGCCATGTCCAAGACGGTGACCACCGTCCCTTCCGAGACGGTCACGACCAGCACCAGCAGCACCCAGGAGCTGAAGTAGCAAACCATGATGACCGTGATGTACTTGGCCTCATTGTAGCTCTTCGGCAGCCCCTTCCCGGCGTAGGCCAAGCAGAAGCACACGAAGGAGAGGACCATGTCAAAGGCGTGGCTGGCCGCCACGGCAGACAGGTGATCTGCGTGACACGTCAGGAAAAGCTCAGCTGGGCTGCCCTTCACGACGGCTTTCACGGGCCTCGGGTAGTGGTACCAGAGGTTGAGCATCAGGACGGCCACCTTGGCGGCGGAGACCGTGGCGATGAAAGCCCACTGCCCCCTGGACGTGGCCCACGCGGTGAAGGCGGTGGGCAGCCAGGCCACCACCTTGAAGGCGCAGAGGATCTGGAAGGCGCGGACGGTGGCGCAGGAGATGCAGACGGTGAAACAGAGGCTGAAGCCCACCTGGCGGAGAAGACACCGCAGCTCGGTGGGGACGCCGACGTAGGAGAAGACGCTGCAGAAGCCGAGGACGAGGGAGGACAGCATGAGGAAGCAGAGCTTGCCGCCAGCGGACTTCACCACCGGCGTGCTGGCATGACGGGCAAACGTGGCGAGGATCCCCAAAGTTGCCGAGAAGCCGAGGGCGGAGAGGAGCAGCAGCGCGACGGAGACGGGGTGGCCCCACTGCAGGTACACCACGAGCTTCGGGAAGCATTCTTCCCGGCCAGGATGGGACCACATGTCCAGCGGGCATCTCTGGCAGGTAAAGCTGTCTAGGGGAACAAAAGCGCAGAGGTGAGACTCTTGGCTCCGTTGGGTCCTGGGGACAGGGGCCCCAAGCAAGGGGCCGAGCCCCTGCTCGACATGCAGAAGGATTTGGGTTCAATCTCTCCGAAAGATCTTCCAGTCCAGACAACGTCGGTTGCGATGACGCAGAAGTGCTGCCGTTCATACATTCATGCGCAAACCAGACTGGGGGGATGTTTGGGAATGGCTCTCCCCAGTCTGCACCCCACGGGAAACGAAGGCCAAAATACCTGGGGCTTTCTTGGAGAAAACCCAAAGGAGAAAGGAATCTAGAGTTGTGGGTAGCTCACTCACGGGACAAGCCACCCACGGCTTGCTTTCATTTTTGGCTTCAGGCCCTGGAAAAGGCGCGTGCTGTGGGCGATGGGCTTTGTGGTGAGCGAAATGCAGCCAGCTCTAAAGGCGAGGGAAGGCACTTACCGCTGTCGTTGAGAAACGTCCCGGCTTCGCACTCCACGCACTCGAAGCAGCAGGAAAGGGAACCGATCTGCTTCTTCTTCCATCCAGAGCTGCACTGCTCAGAGCAGACAGACTTTGGGGCCTGCGGAGGAAGAAGAATCAGACGTCTCCCCCTTTCTGGGCATCCCGCGCAGAGGTGGCCGGGTGCCCGTTTTGAAGAGAGCAAAGTCATAAATATTACAACGTTCCCCGGTTAGGTACCGCTTTTTGTCAGCGAGTGGAACCGGAGCCTCAAGATGGGGAGAGACTTTAAGACAGAGATGCTCCCAAACCCCACCAGGAGGGAGGCTCAAAATGGAGCCCCGGGGGCACCCTTGGGCCCGTATTCCTGCAAACCAGGCCCCTCCAGATGTGTTAGGACAATGCCGACTTCCCCGCCTGCATGAGAATCCCCCACACATCTGGATATCCAGGGGTTTGAAAATCTTACGTCCCTGTTGTTCTAATACACACACACACACACACAGAGTGTAAAATAACTAGTATATATTGCTGTGGGACACGCTCCCCAAGGCAGAAGTGGAGAGCAGAACGTGGAAAGAGGCTTATTTTGGCCTGAGCTCTTATGAGAAGGCGTGGGCCTTCTCCACGGAAGGGGCTGAGGTGGTGCCAAGATACTTCAAGAGGGTGCCAGGGGAGACGCAGAGGTTCTCCTTCCCACCCAGCCCTCTCCACTTCCTGGGTGCCCATCGAGCCTCCTCCACCGATCCAAAGGCCTCCGAGTGCAGGAGGTCCCAACTCACCGTGTTATCGGGCGTCTGCCAGGCGATGCTCCCCGCAAGGACGCTGAGCTTGTCCTCCAGCGAGTCGTACGTCGCCACTCTCTCGAAGGGCTTCCCAGGGAGGTCCCACCGCCACTGGACCACCTCGAAACCGTTCGGGGGGTCGCCTTTCTTGTCAAAGTTAATGGTGGTATTGAGCAGGGTGAAATTCACCCGGCCGATCTCATTTAGAAGCTGGCGCGGAGAGACGAAGAGGAAGAGACTGTCACGGAAGGTGCTATTCAACAGAACATGTCTAACTGTAAAATTGGCCTTTTCTAGCCTCCAGTCCGGCTTGACCCCAAAGCCCATCTTCCCCAGGCCCCATAGGTGAACTTATTTTCCTTCTGCTTGCTCTCTTGAAGGCCGCCTCTGCGAGACGAGGCAGGCCTTCACCTAAGTCAAGAGGGCCGTAACTCCAGTTTTTGTGTTTGAGGAACTTCCCTCTGGAATCAGAATTTCCTCCGACTTACTTATATTTTGCGTGTAAAGGCCAGCAGCTCCCAACAGGACCGTGGGGCTGATGAAAATATTTTTTAACAATGCAGCGCTATAAAATAGGCCAGGATAAAACCAAGACCAAGATCTATTTGACCTCCCTCTTGAACCCTCAGCCCCTCGTTCCTCCCTGGGGTTCCCATCCTCTTTGTTCCCCCTTCCTTGATCCCTCTGTCTGGATGGCCCCCTTAAATTCGCAGCCTCTTTCCTTGCACCCTAAACCCAACCGCGGTGCCAGCCCTCCCAGGGGACAAATGTCCCATCCTTGATCTACCTTTTCTCCCCTCCCTGATTCTCACCTGCCAGGGGTAAACGGTCTTCTTCTGGCACCCGGTGTCGTTGCAACTCAGCAGGCGGTGCAAGGCGTGAGCGGCGACGTAGACGGCCGAGTAGACGTTGAAATCGATGCGGTTCCCCGCTTGCCGGAGGCTCTTATCGTAGAGCTGGACGGTGGGAAGGCATTCCTGGCAAACCTGGTTGCACGTGCTGCCAGAGGCTGGCTCTTTGGGGTCCCCGCTCGCCCCGGAGGGCCCCCCGACTCGGAAGTCATCCAACCCCGGGACAGGGACGTCCTGCACGGCCACCCCAAATATGGTTCCCAGGCTGGACACGTTGTGGATGTTGTGAAGGGACAGGTCAGTGGCCCAGGCTTCCGCGGCGATCCACACCAAGCCGGTGAGGTTCTGGCCGAGGGCTTCTTCGAAGAAGGCCGGGAGGGGCAGTTCCAAGCTGAGGACCACCACCACCTTGGCCGTGCTTCTCCTGATCCGGGCCACCGCGGCCCTGATCTTCTCCTGGACGGGGCTGCCCCAAACCTGCGGATCTCTTCGCTGCACGGGAAGGGTCTCCTGGAGGGCGAGGCAGGCCCGGGGGGCCTGGAACCGCAGCAGCTGGAGGTTCTGGTGGCCGTACTCGTCGTCGCTGGACAGGACAATGAACCAGTTCCACCTGAAGTGGCGTAGCAGCCGCAATATGACCACAATCTGCTGCTCGGCGCTCGGGATCGTGCGGAAAGTCACGGGGAACGTCCCAGGGTCGCTCAGAGCCTCCGTGGTCGCGCTGTAGGTGACCTGAGGCCGAGGATGGAAGAGCGAGGTCTCTTAGTTAAGCAGGAAATCTTCATCAGTTACCTACGGGGTTACTCCAGCTCACTCACCACCGGGCAAAGTGAGGCGGGGAGCACAGCTGCAGCACGTGGACCCGCTCGTAGGTTGCAATTACTGGAACCCCCCAGAGCACATTTAAAAAGGGGTGACTGGGACTGCCTTGCGTTCAACCACCCACTCACATCGTTCGGCCGGTCCCGCTGTTGCCTTTTTGGCCCACAATTTACGGAAACAACCTCAGAGCCGTCGCTGCTTGTCAAAGATGTGTTGTCTCGCCTTTGTTTTATCCCCAGCATAGGGATAAATAACCCTTTCCCACAGGATGGCCACAGTAAGGGGTGTAACCCAAATAATTATTGCACGACATTGTGCAATAAATCCACAGCAATAGGTTTGTGAACTGTATTTTCACAAGCAGAAGGATGAAGGCAGGGCTTTTAAGCAATCAGTTCTGTTGACAAACTTTGCGTGATCCTTCCTTCCTTCCTTCCTTCCTTCCTTCCTTCCTTCCTTCCTTCCTTCCTTCCTTCCTTCCTTCCTTCCTTCCTTCCTTCCTTCCTTCCTTCCTTCCTTCCTTCCTTCCTTCCTTCCTTCCTTCCTTCCTTCCTTCCTTCCTTCCTTCCTTCCTTCCTTCCTTCCTTCCTTCCTTCCTTCCTTCCTTCCTTCCTTCCTTCCTTTCCTCCCTCCCCTCCCTCTTTCTATATCCTTCTTTCCTTTCTATATCCTTCCTTCCTTCCCTATTTCCTTCCTTCCTCTTTCTATATCTATCCTTCCTTCCTTCCCTTTC